TCCAACTTTTTATAATCATTTTTGGCTGTATCCAGTTTCGTTTGTAAATCATCCTTAGCCGTTTCTACTTGGTCTTTCTCTCGGTTAACTTCAACTAAATCTCCATTAACCTTATATCACTCATTCTTTAAATTCTGCCATTTTTCCTGAGCGACATCCTTTATGAATCAATTAGCCAAAGCAAGGACATTCCGAGCAGTTTCGGCTTGTTTAGTTAATAAATTTTGAGAAATCTTTACCTTTGCCGTATTTTGACCAGTAATTTCTTTGGTTCAATTCTTTAAACCTATTTCAACTTGACTTCATCGGCTGATTAATTCTTTGTACTTATTAGAGTTATTTGGAATGCTTATGAATTGTTGGTCGGCTAAATGTTTTCATTCTTGTTTAAAGGCCAGTAATTCAGCCTCTACTGTATCCCTATCTACCAATAAAACTTGATAGTTGGCTTCCAGTTCCGGAATCCTTTTTAATTCATTTTCTCAGTTGTCCGGTAAATTATTAGGTTTTTGATTATTTTGTAAAATGAGAATAAGGTCCAAAGATTCTTTTCAATTATCAGGTAGGTCAGCCGGTTTTTTGTTAGCCACTAACTCATTGTATTCAAAACTGGTGATATTAGCCCTTTTTTCTAATTCATTAACTTCTAATTCTAATTTGGTTTGTTTTAACTCAGAATTTTCGAGTCTATTTCTTAGCCTGGTAACTTCCGAAGTTTTATTTTCTAAATCTAGTTTTAATTTACCAATTAACTTATCTTGGTTAGTAGTAATTGCTTCGGACTTCTTTTTATAGAGATTATGTTCAGTTTCAATTTTCGTTAAATTGTTTTTCAATTCCGCTAACTCGCTCTTTACTTCTTTAGCTTTTTGGTTAGGAAAATACTTAATTCAGGTTGAAAGACTTTTTTCAAGTGAAATTAATTCACCCGGCTTCATCTCTTTATTTGGTAAAGGAAGAGAAATCGATGGGTTTTGGGCTGGACTAACCGCATTATCCCAGGTTGGTTCTGAAAGGGACTGGTCCAGCGACTGAGTTCAAGAGTGGGTAGAATTAGTAAAACCAACTATCTGGTTCAAAGAATTATTAGAGGAAGTATCAGAATGAGCCTGGTATTGTCCTAAATTAAAGGGGTTAGCGGCACCGAGAAAAAGAGAAATTTTGCCCGCATTCTTTTTCATTCAGTAGCCAGGGTTAGGTATTTGGTTAAGATAATTTAATCATGATGATTGAGAACTGGCTGAATTTCCCTCACTTTCTAAATTGTTTTTATTTTTAGGTAATGCATATAAGTAGTATTCTTTAATTAAACTATCGGCATCATAAACATTATTTAAAACTCATTCCGGACTAACTTTCACAACATCCCGTAGCCAAACAAAAAACTTCGAATTGTCAGTTGCTCACTTTTTGTTTCCTTCTGAAATAATGCCCATTCACTCTTTACATTGATTGTAGGTAAAGGCTTCGGTTTGCCATTGTTCAACTAGTTCTGCTGTAAAGTGCCAACAAATGTTTTCTTTTCATTTTTTCCATTCTTTTAACTCTTTAATTCGTTCTCAAAGTTCTTTAACATTTTCTAAGTCTTTCGACAACCATGAAATCCAAAAGTATTTTAGGTTAGGAAATTTTTCACTTCTAGTTCCCTCTTCTATTACCCAATTTTGAAGGTCTTCAATTTCAGTTATAAAATTTTCTCAGCCTGGCATTTCTTCCACTTTAACTTCTTTGTTTTTTATCCTTTCTTCTCACACTGAAAATGACCTAGGAATCCGTTTTAAAAATTCCTGCTCGGCAGGAGTTAAACTACTAGCCTTATTAATTTGCTCTCTTTGAGCCTCAATAGTTTCTTCTAGTCCTTTCCCTTTTTTATCAGCCAAATCTAATTCCTCTTTCAATGCTTTTATTTCTTTCGTTAATTTCTCAATTTGGTCTATAAAATACTTGTGCGACTTGATATTACAAATTCCTCATTCTTTTCCGGGTTCGGCAGAACTTTTAGCGGCCTTCTTTAATTCCTCTAACTGTTCCTCTAAACCAGTAATTTTTTTCTGTGCTTCGGCTAATACTTCCCTTTCCCGTTCTAACAACTTTTTCAGAGTTTCATTTTCAACCAACATTTCTTGGCTATCTTTTTCCTTTGGACTAGGAGTCTCGGAATAGTAGTCAGAATAAAAGTCGGAAAAATCAGAAGTTCCTGAATCACTCCGATAATGAGTGTTAATTCTTTTCAATTGAGGGAACTTGGCACTTTTTTTGGTTGAATTCCGGTTCTGAGAAGCCACAATTTCATTTCAGGTTTTTTGGAGTTTAATATATTTCTCAGTCGTTTCTCTCAAATTGCTTTCTAAATTCTCTACTGCTTTTTCTCTTTCTTGGCTTCTGGTTAGCAAGCGGATTATTTCTTTTTTCTGTTCGGCTTTGTGTTTTTCCAACTCGGCAATTATTTTTAAATATTTTTCGATGTCCTCGCATAATTTAGCCACTTTTTCGACACTCATTTGTTTATTATCCTCGGTCTCCTCTAAAAGTCCTTTCAATTCCGCTTCTATTTTATGGGCTTCTTCATTTAAATCCAGTAATTTCTCTTTCTCTTTCTCTTTCTCTTTCTCTCAACTTTCTTGCTTGGTACCGGCATCAATTCCGACTTTCTCGATAGAGGCGATTACATTTTTTTTGAGGTCTCTTAAATTATCTAAATTAATTTTGGCATTTTTAACTCTGAATTCTGAGCGGGCTAAACTTTCCTCACCCTGCTTTTTCTTGGCTTCTAAATTGGCTAATTCAGTTTCTAGTTTGCTTCGGGTTTCAAGGTTATTCTCGTCCTCAATGGCCGCTTTTTTGGCTTCAATTTTACCTTCTAATTTCGCTAACTTGGCTTTTTTCTGGTTGGCATGGGCTACTAAATCATCCAAACAACCTTCCTCATTTTCCAATATATAATCAAGGTTATTACTAGTTTTCTGTGTTTCAACCCAGGTTTTTGCCTCTTTAACTCGCTTGATTTGCAGAGCCTTGTTTTCTTTCATGTACTCATCAAAATCGAAATCTGATGAATCGGAATCCGCCGGTTTAGCACTAGTTCCGTATAAGGCTTTGGAACCCTCGCTATGGGCTTCTTTTAGTGCTCGGGCTAGACCTTCTGGCAAACCAAAATCAGTTTCCTCCTCCTCGTCGGAACTTTCATCGAGGACTCTAATTTTTTCTACTTTGGAAGGATTTTTTCGTCAAGTCACTTCTCGCCAGTTATCTGGTAAGTCATCTAAATTGATACCTAACTCGTTTAACTGCCGCCGAATTTCTTGTCAATTTTCTTGGGCTTCATTCAAGTTTTCCGTTAAGTTGTTAGCAATTTCTTCGGCTCGGTCTTTAAGTTTTTGATAAAATTTTTCTCGGCGTTTCTTAGCCATAGCAGCCTTTGCTTCCTCGCTTAACTCGCTTTCCTTATTACCTTTTTCTCCATTCTCGTCTGCTTCCTCACTAGCCAACGAATTTAAATTTTCCTGCTGGTCGGTAAAATTTTCGAGAGAAGCAGCTCAATTAATTAAGGCTTTGGTAAGCAACGGAATTAAATCAGGTCGTTCTCCGTTTTTTAATTGTTCAATTTCATTTTTTAAATCGTCAATTCTTCTCCCCTGGTCTAATATTTCTTCATCTTTTCCTTTGTTATTCCTTGATAACCTTTCATTTTCTCTGCATAAATTTTCAATAAGTCTCTCATCATTTAAAATTGGAACCGGACGATTACTGGCATTGGCCGAGAACTGCCGAAAGGAACTACGACGAGAAGTAGTAGGAGAAGTAGTAGGAGAAGTAGTAGGAGAAGTAGTAGGAGAAGTAGTAGGAGAATTATCAACAAAGCGACCTGAAAAATATTCCTGCCCTTTGGAATAACGACGAGAAGTTGGGCGACTGCTTCTTTTACTCGAAACCGGGCTGGTTGTTTTTGGAGTTGGTGCTGGCGTATGATGTTCCCAATTCGAAATATTACCTAATACTTCATACTCACTACTGGAACTTTTTTGGGTATCATCTGAACCATCTTTTTCGTGATGACTATCTGCCTGAAAATCGCCTTTTGCTTTTTGTTGGTCTCAATAATCTTCTAATTCTTTAACTTTGTCATCTCTTCATTTTACCTCTCAGGCCATTTCTTTCAATAAATCCTCAAAATCCTTTTCTTGTTGCTCGGCTAATGATTTTTTACTTAGTAATTCCCTTTCTTTAATATTCAGCAGAGAATTTAGGCGATTTATTTCTTCTTCTTTTCTTTCGATTTTAAAATCTCTCTCTTCTGCTACACGAATATAATCATGTCTCTTCTTGTCTAGTTCTTCCTCTTTGTCCTCTAAATCTTTTTCCAGTTTTTTGTTTTGGCTAGATAGATTCGCTTTTTCCGCCAATTCCATGTTTAATGCTTTTTGTTGGTCGCTTAATTGCCCTTTCAAATCTTTATTCCGTTTTTCTAAGTCGGCAATTACTTTTTTTGATTTTTCGGTTTCTTTTTTTAGTTTATCTTCTAGTTCAGAGTTTCTTTCCTCTGCCTTTTCTAAATCCTTATAAATTTCATCTAAGTTTTCATTGTATCTTTCTGCTTCCTTTTTTTCTCTTATAAGTTTCTTCTTCGCTTTAGGTTCGTTTTCGCTTCTGCCAACTTCTTCATTATCTTCTCTTGAATAGTCCTCTTCTGAGGAAATTCCTTCACCTATATAATGAGTGCCAGAAAAAGTATATTTTTTCAATTCTTTTTCTTCTTCTTCGGCTATCTGAGCGGCTATTTTTTTCAAATCCTCATCAAAATTATCGCTTAATTTCTTATATTTATCTCAAAGGAATTGAAAATAATCTTCCAAATTTTTAACCGCAATTAATAATTTATTTTTTTCTTCCCCTGCTTTTAGATTTTCAAATCACTTTTTTATGCCAGCCAGCCAGTAATCTGAAAAGTTAAGAGCATTAATTAAAGGTTGGTTAGGAAGGGCTTGTGGTGGGAGGTTCGTGAGGCTCACGTTTTCGTCTCTCTCTCTCTCTCTCTCTCTCTCTCTCTGTCATTAATATCATTCATTAATTCTTTAAGAGTTGAGTTTTTAATTTTTTTAATTTCTTTTTTTATATTTTCATAGTTCTTGTGATTCATAGAATTTATTTAAAAATAACTTTAAAAGTTATAACTTTATTTTACGGCTTTGTGGAGGTCTGATAAATGGTAAATACTGCCATCAAAAGTTACAATCCAACCGAAAGAAAAAGGCTAGAAAAGTTTTAGTGCCGGTTAAGAAATGAAACTAGCAATAGGAATTATTTTCGAATTTTCTAATAATAATTAATAAGATATTTGATGCTCATTTTTTGCATCATAATCAAATCTTTAAATAATTTTTTTCTCGCTTTTTTATATAAATAAATGGTTAGCAACTTATTATTTCTAGAAACAATTGATAACTCTTAATACTTCTAACCCTGCTTCTAAAAATCTTAAAATATTTAATATTCCGATTAATTTTATATGAAAAAAAAATACCAGTTAAAAATTTCTGTTTACGGTTATGATGTAGAAACTGTCGAAAAGGCTACTGGAATGGTCGCTGAAAAACTTTTACAACTAAAACTAAATTATAGTGGTAAAGTTTCTAAAATTTCTCCGCCCACTAAGAGAAAAACTATTAGCCTGCTAATTTCCCCCCATAAACATAAGGACTCGCAGGAGCAGTTTGATCATGAGACTCATCGGCGAACATTCCTTATTTATTCCAGCATTTCTCCAAATGTTCTAAAATCGTTGGAAGATCTAAAAGTTCCTAATACTGCACATTTTGAATTAAGAACTTTTTTTTAGTTTTGTTCAATAAGTATGAAACAGTTTTACCGGGATATAGTAAGTTTTAGAGCCGATTCGAAACTTTTGCCGATTAGTAGCAAATTTCCTTCTGGTAGCTCGCATTGAAAAAGAACGGTTATTTCCAAATAGCGGTTTACCTTTTTTACTTAACAATTTTTCAATTTCTTTCATATGCAATTTTTTAAATGACTAGGAGAAAACTATGGATATTTAATTTTCCTACTTTTTTACCTAATTACTATTATATTATTTTACATTTATCTTCAAAAAGAACGAAGGAGCAAATCGCAACTAAAAAATCTTCTTCAAAAAAAAGAAGAAAAAAAGTTGGCTGAATTAGTTAAAAGAGAAAGGGAAGTAAACTCTGCTAATAGTAAGTTAATTGCTAGCGTTGAAAAACTTAAATCGATGGAAAAAAGGTTAGAACAGGAAGAAGAAAGAATAAACAGCCGTGCTGACCAAATACTTCGCAAGGAAGAATTATTTATTCAGCAACTTTCGATAGTCTCGCAAAAGGAAGCAAAAATTCAAGAAGAAACGGAAAAAGTTAAAAAAATAGAAGAAAGATTAGTAGATGAATTAGGAAAACTAATTCCGATGAGTGGGGAAGAAGCAAAAAGAAGTCTTTTTCTTTTATTGCAAGAAAAAGTAGACCAAGATCTAGAAAAATATAAAGAGCAAAAGGTTAAACGATTGTCTGAAAAGGCCAAAGAGGAGGCGAAGAAATTAATTTGCTTGGCCTTAGAAAATTGTAGTTCTGAGTTAGTTACTGTCCGAACAACTAACACTTTGAAAATAGAAGATCCACAAATAATTAGTAAAATAATTGGTAAAGAAGGAAGAAATATTAATGCTTTTCGAAGAATTACTGGGACTGATATTATTATCGATAAAGAAAGCGGTGACACGACAGTTCAGGTTTCTTCTTTTAATTCTTTAAGGAGAGAAATAGCTTGTCAAACTTTAATTTCTCTAGTCAGAGGGGAAAAATTTTCTCCCGAGCAAATTGAGAAAACTTACCGGCAAATGAGTTCAAAAATTGATGAAATTATTGTTGAAAGTGGGGAAAAAGCATTGAGAGAATTGGAAATTACTGGAGTTCATCCTGAGTTAATTAAGCATCTAGGTAGGTTAAAATATCGTACTAGTTATGGACAAAATGTTTTGCAGCACTGCTTAGAAGTGGCTAAAATAACTGGGAATATTGCTGCTGAACTAGGTTTAGATGTTCTTTTGGCCCGACGGGCTGGTCTCTTTCATGATATTGGTAAATCAGTTGAAGATAGCAGAGGTTATTCTCATGTGTTAAGTGGAGTTAATTTAGCAAAAAAGTTCAAAGAGCCAGGAGAAGTTATTAATGCAATCGCTTCTCATCATCATGATTTTCCTGCTGATAATTTTTATTCCTTAATTGTTTTAGCAGCGGACAGGCTGTCGGCTGCTCGGCCTGGTGCCCGAGGCTATCAATTAGAGGCTTACACTGAAAGAATGAATGAGTTAGAAAAGATTGCTAGCGAATTTCCAGGAATCAAAAAAAGTTATGCCTTCCAGGCTGGGCGAGAAATTTGAGTATTTGCCGATGCCGAAAAACTAAGCGATTACCAAACTTGGGAAATATCACAAAAAATTAAAAAAAAAATAAAGGAAAGTATTGTTATTCCAGGAGAAGTAAACATCTATACTGTTCGAGAAAAAAAATTCACTCAGAAATTAAATGTAGGAAAAGTTTGGGAAAGTATTCCTTTGGAATTGGCAGGGCAAATTGACTCAGGAAAAAGAAAAATGACTTTCGAAAAAAAACTCAGTGGGAAAAAGAAGAAAAGGAAGTTAGGAAGAAAAATAGAGGAATAGAAAAGCATGCTGCGGAGAAAAAGGCTGATTTTAAAAAACTTAATTAAGAAATTTAAATGGCCATTTCTTGGACTAATTCTCTTCACCTTTTTGATAAGTTATTTATCTTTTATTGTCCGTTTTAATTTACGGACTAATTTATACTTCTGAGAACACCGCGGAAAATTTTATTATCTTTTTGGAAAACTATCAGTTATCGAGAAAATAGAAGGAGACAAAATATTTGTTAACTGGAATAAATTATTATTAATTCTGTTTTTGCTTTATTTTCCGCTAAAAATAATCATTCAGTTTGCTTTTCACTATTTTCAAAAATGTTGTGAAAGAAAGGTAAAAGTTTACCTCACTAAAAACCTTCTTGACTTTGCATTTAAAAACAAGAGTTTAGTTATCCAAAAATCTTCTGAAAAATCCTATATTATTAACCATTCAGTTCCAGATTTCAGTAGGCAATTTTTCGCCATTCCAATTAACTTTTTTAAAATTTTTGTCACCCTTGGTTTAGAAATCTTTTCGTTTGTTTTTCTAATTAGAACAAGAAATTTGGCAGAATTAGTTCCTTTGATTGTCATCTTTTTAATAATTAATTTAACTTGACTAGTTTTTTTGAATTTTTTTACTAGAAAAATCCGCAAGTTGGAAGAAAAAAAACGGCGAGATTACTATAAAGATGAAGAGACTAAGGTTAGGATTTTTTTGGAAAACTTGAACTCTGATGACAATCCAATTAGCCTAAACCAAATACACGTTTTGTTAGACAAGAATTCAAAAAAAATATTTTCTTCTTCTTTTCTTTCCACATTTACTGAACTACCCAATTTTATAATTCCAGGGATTACTACTCTCTTTTTGTTTCTTTACCATCAATTCTGGTCCGAAGGAGAGGGACTGCGTTGAAATGAGTATTTTGTGGCCTACAATCTCCAAAGAATTCTTTCAGAAGTCAAAAAAGTAATTAATTACTCAGACCAAGTTTCTGATTTTCGAGAAAGTTATTCAAAAGTGAAGAGTTTTTATAGTTAGAAGTGCTTTTAAATTTTTACCTTAACCTTTCGCGAATTTACCTATATAAGTTCCATAACTTTGACATTAGTTTCTTTTTCTGCCATATTCTTATTGTATAGACAAACCAATAAGTATAAAACTATAATATATGCCAAAATATCTAGGCTCATGACAAAAAAAGGCGCGAGCTCTTGGTTTTTCTTTTCGGAGGAATAAGCAAGAGTTTAGCCGGGGGAAGAAAAGGATTACCCCTCCAGGTATTCATGGAAACAAAAGAAAAAGGTTATCTTCCCACGCCGTTAAGTTGCGGGAGAAACAAAAAGTTAGATATGCTTATGGTTGACGAGACAATCAACTGAAAAACGAATACATTAAAGCCTTAAAAAAAGCAGGTGACACTGGAGTTAATCTGCTGATAAGTTCCGAATCACGTTTGGATAATCTTGTTTTTCGCTCTGGATTAGTTAACACTCTTCCTTTTGCCAGGGAATGAGTTAGTCACGGCCACTTTTTAGTTGATGGTAAAAAAATAAAAACCCCTTCCTGTAAAATAGAACCCGGTCAAGTTATTAGTCTAAAAAAAAAAAAAGATAAAGAAAATAAAATAATTAAAAACTGTTTAGAACAAAATATTAAAACTCCTCCTTACATTTCCTTCGATAAACAAAAATTAATCATTACTTATGTACGTCATCCTCAGCCAGAAGAATTAGACAAAGACATCGATTACCACTCAGTAGTAGAGTGATTTAGTAGAAGAGTTTAGAAAATTAAATTTTATCAAAATTATCTGGTAAACCGATTCTTGTTCGAAAGTGATAACTTGGCAAATTTGTTCGTGTAAGAAAATGGTATTGACAGGATTTTTAATTATAACTAAAAATGGAGAAGTGCCTAATTTTTGCAGAGTTTGTCATGACAAATAACAAAATCTTAAAATAAAAAATCAGTAAAATTAATAATATGGATAATTGATTGGAAAATTTTGCTAGTAACGTTTATTATTATTTAGGAAATTTTGCTATACCTTTCACAACTCCCTTTTTCGCCATCTACAATTGTTATCGGTTAATGAGGGGAGTTAGTAATGAATATTTAAAAGTGTTAATATTTATCATTAGTGCGGTTTACGTGATAATGTCTCTTTGTGTGGCTATTTATTTAGTTTTTTTTGTAAAAAAATAATTGAGGTTAATAATACAGAAAAAATTTACAATAGAAAAAAATAAAAAATTTTTACTCTTTCTATTTTTTAAACTTTTGTCAATGAAGTTCCTTGCTTATTTTATTTTTTATTATCATAAAAATAAACATTATTACACGCAGCACCAAATGCTATAAAGAATAAACTATCTAGTAAGTATTTTTGATAAAATTAATATTAATATGGAATTATCCTTAAGAAAAGAAAACGAAAGCTTGCAGAAAACTACTTTTCCTAGCCTTCAAACAATTACTCGCCAATGATATTTTTTAGACTTAAAAGGTAAAGTAATTGGGAGAATGGCCCCAAAAATTGTTGAATTATTGCGAGGTAAAGATCGAAAAGATTTCATACATAATTCTGATTTGGGAAATTATGTGGTGTTAACTAATGCTAGACATGTTATTTTTTCCGGTAATAATAAGTTAGATGATAAAAAATACCGAAATCATTCTGGATATCCTGGTGGATTACGCGAAAGAAATCTTCGTGAAATGTTAGAGAAGTATCCACGAGAATTAGTTTTTCGGATTGTAAAGGGTATGATGCCTAAGACTAAGTTGGGGGATAAGCAACTCACTAGATTATTTATTTATCCAACTGACAAGCACGACAAGCAGGCTCAGGAAAAAAAATTCATTAAATTAATATATGGAACAGATAGGGGTAATTAACCATCAGGGTAAAATAGTAAACAATCTTCCTCTTAATCCGGCTATTTGGCAAGTGCCGCTTTCGCATTTAAATATTTCCTTGGTTAATCGCTATTATTTGGCTAATCAGCGTCAAGGAACTAAGAAAGTAAAAAGTCGGGGAGAGGTGAGTGGAAGCACCAGAAAAATTTATCGACAAAAAGGAACAGGAGGAGCCCGTCACGGACATCGGTATGCTCCCCAATTTAGAGGTGGAGGAGTAGCATTTGGACCAACTGGAAAAGAAAATTATTCCCTGAGCATTAATAAAAAACTTAAAAAAAAAGTTTTGCAATCAATTTTAAGTGAGAAAATGCAAAATAAAGAAATTATTGTAGTTGAAAAAATAAATTTTGATAACTACAAAACCAAAGAGGCAGTTAATTTCTTAGCCGCTTTACCTGCTAAGAAAAATAAAACTCTGCTTATTTTGGCTAATAACGAGGAAAATAAAGAAAAAATTATTTATTCTTTCCGTAATCTCCCTTACATAAATATCACTGATAGCAACTCAGTAAATACTTCACAAATATTATCTCCTAATTATCTCTTGTTTACTCATACTTCTTTCACCGAAACTGAAAAAAGGTTAAGTTAGTTTTTTTATATCTTTAAAATACATTACATTTAATAAATAAATAACTATTATGACAACATTACAAGAACAATTTGAAAAAGATTTCCCAGATAAGAGTGTGAGAGAGATTAGGGCTGCTTACAAATATAAATACAGCAACTTTACTAACTGTGATTTAGATTTAAGCAAGTATGTTAATTTAGAGATTTTAGTAATGGTTCAAAACCGCATAACTTCCATAGATTTCTTAAAAACTTTACCTAATCCCGAGAAGTTAAAAGAATTATTAATTTACAATAATAATATAAAACCAACCGACATAGAGATATTTAGCAGATTTATTAATGTAGAGAGATTAAACATAGGAACTTAGGGTTGGGGTGTGAGAGACAACAATCGAAACCGATTCTATGGCTCCCTAAAATCTTATCAAAACTTAACTAAATTAGAACATATTTGTATTGAAGCTACGGATGTTGATAGTGGATTAGAATACTTGCCAGAGAGTTTGTGATATAGAGAGGGGCAAAGAACAGAACAAATACGAGCTATTAAAATTGAATGCTCGCCCCGCATTGCCAATGCTAAATGTAAAGCCATCCAAGACCAATTAAGACCTTTAAATTACGACCTAGAAGCTTGACAACTCGCTCACCCCGAATTAATGGTTAAGGTCTGAAAAGAAAGATATCAAAATAAATCCCAGTTAGTCCAAAATTTAGAAACCAAAATCACCCAAACCAAACAAGAACTAGACCGAGTTAGAACCCAAGAAACCGACAAAACTGCTAAAATAGGCAGATTAGAAACCAGTATCCAACACTTAGAACAAACCAAAACTAGATTAGAAACAGAATTAGCCCAAAAAGAGCAACAACACCATAATCAGTTAGCCGAAATAGTTAAAACTATCTTTCCCAGTAGCACTAATTATGCTGATATTAGTTTTGCTGATTTGAGGGAACAGATTAAGAAAGTCAAAAGTCAAACAACTTGAAAAACCAAAATCAAACATATAGCAATAGGCGGTTTACTAGTATTAGGAGGTCAAAAAACTTATAACTGATACTATGGAGAAAGTAACTTAACTTCTCCAATCAGTTATGATAATAGCACTCTGTTAGAAATCATTTATCCCAACATTCCTTTCAATGAACCAGAATATAAGAACTTAACTAATTTATTAAGACTTCCCCAAGTAGAGAAAGCACAAAAAGATTTGGCAGAAATTAACCAAATAATATTTTCTGACTTTTCTAATAGTTCAGTTGACTTAAAAACTGAACTTACTAGGCTAAAAATAAATGATTTAATTATTCAAATTCCAAGTAAAAAAAATGAATTAACAGAATTAGTTGCTAACACTAAAAATAAACTTAATAAGGCCGAAAACTACTTGTTAGAGCAACTTCTTACTGAAAAATATGACTCAGAAAAATTAATTGAACTGAAAACTGCCTTATCAGAATACAAAACAGAAATAGAAATTATTCTAACTAAAAAGCAAGAGATAAACAATTTAAAAGTTCACCTCCAAAGTTTACAAGAAATCCAAAAGTATTCAGAATATCAGGCTAGGGTAGAGGTTAATACCAATTAGTTTAAAAAGCGGAAATTAATTTGAATAGTGTAATATTAGAATTAGAAAAACAGTTAAGTTTTGAAAGTGAGGCCAAAGTTGAAATTAATATAAGATAGGCAAAGGAAAGTTACAAAAATTAATCTTTTTTTCAGACATTTTTCAATTCCTCTATTAGTTCTTTGTTTTTCAGTTTTGTAAAAAAATTTTTCATTTCCTTTTGAGTTTCCTCCCCTAAGATTTCTTTAATTCTTTCTCATTCATTATTCTCAATTGCAGTGAGAAAGGAAACTAAGTCAGGGTAAAAAGTAGTTATTTTTTTGGCCTTTACTGAACTTAATAGAGGAATGCCTAGTGCGGCTAGTAAATTAGCCAATGGTTTCTTCCTAGAATTTTCAATAGAAAACAAAATATTATCAATACTTTTTTTTTTAAATCCTTCTAATTTTTCTATCTCTTCCCTTTTCTGAACTAAATAATAAAAATCACTGGGTTTTTTTAGTAAATTGTTCTCGTAAAATTTTTCAATAATTTTTCTGCTAATTCCTTTAATATCTACCCCTGTTTTGGAAGCAAAATGAGCCAGATAGTTGACGACCTTTTGCGGACAATTATCATTTTTGCATACTTGGTAAATGTTACTTGAATTTCATTTTAACTTCTGTTGGCAAGAAGGGCAATTTTCCGGAGGGGATCAATTATCACTCTTGCTTAGTTTAATTACTTGGTTAACTTGGGGAATGACATCGCCAGCCTTTTTTATTACTATTTCATCCCCAATATTCAGTTTTAGGCTACGGATGAATTCAAAGTTATGAAGGGTTACTTTACCTATCCTGCTTCCTTGCAAAATTACCGGTTCTATTTCGGCTACGTAAGTTACTCTCCCACTTCGGCTTACTTCAACATAAATACTCTTTACTTGGCTGGTAGCCACCACAGCTGGAAACTTGTAAGCCATGGCTCAGCGAGGGAAGCGGCTAGTTTGTCCTAGTTTTTCATACTGGTTATAATCGTTTACTTTGACAACAATGCCATCGCTTTCGAATTCTAGTTCCTCCCTTAACTTTTCTTGCTTTTGAATAAACTTTCATGCCTCTTGAATACTAGGAAATAGTTGGTAATCGGGACTGACTGCAAAGCCCAGTTTTTCCAATTTTTTTAAGCAAGTTAATTGTTTATCTAATTTACCGAGAGAATTCTCGGCATTGTTTATGATATTCTGATTAAATAATTGATAGGCAAAAAAGTGTAAATTTCTATCCTGTAAAGGAATCAGAGTACGCAAACTTCCCGCCGCAGCATTACGTGGGTTAGCCAGTAGTTTATTGTTAGATTTGCTTAGTTCCTTATTCAGGCGGTAGAATTCTCCTTTTTTCATGTAAACTTCTCCTCGCACTTCGCAATCGGCAATTTCTTTCAGAGTAAAGGGAATATTTTTTATTAATTCTTTGTTAAAGGTTATTTCTTCACCAACAACACCGTTTCCTCGAGTGCTAATTTGGATCAGTTGGTGATTTTGATAAATAAGGCTGATTGAAAGACCATCAATCTTTCATTCGCAAATGTATTTTATTTCTGTTTCAGTTTTTAATATTTTTTTTACCCTCTCGTCAAAGCGAAATAGATCTTCCTGATTGTCAACACTATCTAAACTTAACATAGGAATTTGACGAGTGACCGAGCGGAATTTAGGGCTGGCTGAATGGCCTGCTTTTTGAGTAGGAGAATTAGAAAAAATGAAATTGTATTGAGTTTCTAAATCTTTTAACTCTTTTAAATGCTTGTCATATATTGCATCTTCAATGCTAGGTTGGTTAAGAGTGTAATATTCATGGTTTCACTTTTCTAATAGAGTAATAAGTTCTTTCATTCTCTTCCTGACTTTAATTGGCGGTTCAACTTTCTGATTCATTTAAAATAGATAATAAAGTTTTAAATCTAATAGAGAAATTTAAAAATAAAATCCCTCCAAACCCCACTGTTTTTTTTTTTTTTTGTAAAATATATTTAGAAAGGAATAAATATTATGAGCATAGAACAATTAACTAGAAATTACCTTAATAGTTTATCCGTAAGTTTAGACAAAAATCAAGAGCGGGAGATAATTAGTCTTAATAATACCAGCAATTGAATAATTTTTCATAGTGATTCTTTACGGAATAAATACACAGGAGCGGATAAAACTTATGACATAATTTCTGAACCCCTTCGAGAAATTTTCCAAGAGCAACTAAAAATTCATAGAGACCCAAAATGAAAAGATAATTTTTTAAATTTTGGTGAAGACCCTAACAGTATTAGTATAGATGATGTCCGGATCAAATTTTTTAATGTTTTTAGAAGTGGATACTTATCAGATTGAGTTGCAGTTGACAAAATTGCCCTCGGGCGAGGATTTGGAACTATTATCAATACTATCGATGAAACTGATTTATCCGTAGGAACGGAAAAAGTAAAATCGAGGGATAATCTAAATCTTTTATTGAGCGACCCCCAAATTAAAAACAGCAAGGCACCAGAAAAAACCGAAGAGAAAGAGGAAAACAACGTACCTACTTCTGAATCAATTCAATTTGTAATTCACAAAGTCAGTTTAGTAGGTAGTTCAAGTTATCCAAATATACTAATTAAATTTTCTTCACCTATAACCGTAGATGGAAAAAGTTTTAAAAAAATATTATTGAGTGGAACAGAAGCCCAAAAACACTATCAAAATGGAGATTTGGCAGTGGGAAATACTATTCTTATTAAAAAACAAGGTAAATTTAGTTCGGCAGATGGAATAGAAAATTTAAACATTAGAGTCGATGAGGGTTTTGCCAAAATTCAGGTTATTTCTCGGGCCAGTTCGTCAAGAATCCCTCTCGAAACCTCTCTTCCGGATCCTGATTCAATCACTTTCGTTGTCGATAAAATAAGAACAAATCCATCTAAGAGTGTGGTAACTATAAAACCTGAATCAG